GAGAAAATGGGAGAAAATGGGGAGGAAATGGGAAAAAACGGGGAGAAAATGGGACAAAACGGGGAGAAAATGGGACAAAACGGAGAAAATGGGACAAAATGGGGAAAAATGGGACAAAATGGGGAGAAAATGGGACAAAAGGGGGAGAAAATGGGAAAAAAAGGGGAGGAAATGGGAAAAAACAGGAGAGAAAATGGGACAAAATGGGGAAAAATGGGACAAAATGGGGAGAAAATGGGAAAAAACGGAGAAAATGGGAAAAAACGGGGAGAAAATGGGAGAAAATGGGGAGGAAATGGGAAAAAACGGGGAGAAAATGGGAGAAAATGGGGAGGAAATGGGAAAAAACGGGGAGAAAATGGGACAAAACGGGGAGAAAATGGGAAAAAACAGGAGAAAATGGGAAAAAATGGGGAGAAAATGGGAAAAAATGGGGAGAAAACGGAGAGAAAATGGGAAAAACAGGAGAAAATGGGAAAAAATGGGACAAAACCGAGAGAAAATGGGAAAAAGTGGGGAGAGAATGGGAAAAAATGGGGAGAAAATGGGAAAAAACAGGAGAAAATGGACAAAATGGGGAGGAAATGGGAAAAACGGGGAGAAAATGGGACAAAATGGGGAGAAAATGGGAAAAAATGGGACAAAACAGGGAGAAAATGGGAAGAAATAGGGAGAAAATGGGAAAAAAATGGAATTATTTTGGGAATATTGAGTGGGGTTTGGGTGGGAGGTGGAATTCTGTAAAATGTTCCATGTGGGAACAGGGAAATCCAGGATTCCCGTTCATTTCTGATCCTTTTTTCCATGGAAAATCCATCCAGAAGATATTAAAATCAACTAAAATTGACTAAAAATCATCAAATTTGGGTGGAATTCAATATTCCATGTGGGAAAATCCAGGATTTCCCTCCATTTCTGATCCTTTCCAGCCCTGTTTTCCTTGGAAAATCCATCCAAAAACACCAAAAAACCCCAAAAAACCCAGGAAAAATTGGAATTCCATTGAATATTTCAGTCAGAATTCCAGGGATGGAATTGAGACAAAAAAAAAACCCAGAAAAAATCAGAATTTTGGGGTGTTTTTTTGTATTATTTTTTGGGAAAAATTCTCTTTTTTTTCCACATTCCTGCCAGGAAAGAAATTCCAGGAGGGAATAATCCCAAATTCATCCCAAATTCATCCCAAATCCATCTCTGGGGACAAAAAAAAATTGAATTTTAAACCCAGCACCTCCCCCATTGATTTTTTTTTTTTTTTTTT